ACGCACGCACGCACGCACGCACGCACGCACGCACGCACGCACGCACGCACGCACGCACGCACGCACGATTATGATATTCATTTATTCCCAAGTGAAATCATTGTTGAATTTTTTTAAGGTCGCTATTTTTTTTAAATCGTATTTTTTTTATAAAAGTTAAGATGATATAATATAATATAGTTGCTTTTCAAAAAGTTGCAATTTCAAAGTATGCAATTTGCTGTATGCAAGTATATGTATACTAATTTTAAAAATAATTATATACTTTTTCTACATTAACTGATTCGTCTCTATTTTGTATATAAAAATATTAGACACGGTTATAAAAAAACGAATAATTTACGAGATATTTTATATTTTGTTATAATATATCAGAATAAAGTGTAAAATAACTCATAACTTTTTATTAACTTTTTGATAACTGTACTTTTATAACACTTTTATATTTTAATCCTATTTCCTAAATATACTTTTTTATTCAATCAAACTTTTCAATATTTTTATATTCACACAATTAAAGAAATTTTATTATGTGACGAAAAGTAGATGGCTTCATTTAAAAAATGGCGACTGTAAAGAAATATCGACAATAGTTCTATCTACGAATGAATCATTATTATAATTATATGCTTCTCCGAAACTCTTTGTATGAAATGATTTCTTCTAAAATTGAAAACAAATAAAATTTTGATTGATAAATTAAAATTGAGCACTTTATAATCTATTATAATATAAGAAAATAAATACAAGTTATTCTTGAATTTTTAAGAAAATTTGTAAATAAAGTGATAAGATATTTAATAAGTACATCAGAAAATAATAATAATATAATTTAATAATATACAGGATATCTATCTTATAATTAATGATTAATTATGAGATCGTGGATATACAGAAGTTGCAATTCTTTTTTTAACGAGAAACGCGCGATTAAGAAGATCCGGCTTGAAAAACAAAAAAGATTGTAGATTCTGCGCTTTTATTCTGCGATTTTTGAAGAACATAGAGAAACCCATAAATGTTGATATGAAAAATCCATAAACATGAATATTGATAATCTATATATAGTGATACGTATCCATAATTGGCTTCGGAATTGTTATAATTATAAATCTCGCATAGAAATTGATAAGAATAATTTCTGCAAAAACGTGGAATACAGCCAATACAAACAATATTCTGAACAGTGAGAAATAAAGTTAAAGTGAAAGCGAAAGTGAATAGTGAAATGCTGCAAAGAATATCACGGATGTCACCCGTTATGAGAGTACGGAGAAGATGGGGCAATAATAAATATATTGAAAGTCTTGAGGAATCTAGCCCAGAAGTGTCGAGTAGTGATACGTTCTCGTCAAGCTATCAAGAAGATTTGAGTGCGTCAGTGCGTGAACAACTTTGGGACTTAAATATTCATCGAGTATTCGGGACAGACACGAGAACCGACTGTCGCGCTATCGTCGCTACTAGTAATGCAGAAACAATTAATAGCGATAATTCAGCTTTCTCTTCTTTTATCCAAGGTAAATGCAATCGATGACGAAATTATTGTAAGATGTATGTGTATTATATGATAATTTTGTACACAATTATTAAATTTATAGAAAACTGAAAAAAGGAAATATAATTTTGAAATTCTAAAGTTTCAGGGGATTTTCATTTTTTATTTTTAGAATTTTTAGATTATTGGATTGGAATGATTTCTATATTTTTAATATTTAAAAATATTAGAAAACATAATGTTAGAAATGTTTGGAACATTTTTATATATTAAATTGTATTTTTGTATATTTCCATTTCAGAAATATAAGTATAAAAAAGGGAGAAAAGCCTGATGTTTCGTTTTCATTAAATTAATAATATCTAATTTGTTTCCAAGAATTAATATTAAATTTTGAGTCTGACAATAAAAGTAATTTTTTTAAATTGAAATTTGTTAAAGGACATTTGGCACGGTTTTTGATGAAACTAGGGTTTCGGTCAAATTAGCTGAAATTTTGATTGGTGTAGATTTTGACTCACTGATACGGCGGTTCAATTAGGATTCTCCGAATCCTAATTCGAACTCTATTCCTTCTTCCATACCAAATCCAAATTACCAAAATTTAATTATTCCTCGTTATTTTTTCCTCTCGCTTTGTGGAGGGAGAGGAGATCCCTCCCCGAGATCGGTCAATCCGACTCCGTTTTGTGGGCCTCCGAGGCCGATCTTGGATAAAAAGGATTCGATTCTCCACAGAGATCATCCTTCCCGTTCTCGGAGTCTCGACAGCAACATCTCGCAAGAAATTAGCGAAACAAAAACTGAACCAAAATCCTGAAGTCCAGTCGAAAAAGTACCGAGATGCTCTTTCTCCCATGGCCGAGCACGCTCGGCAACAGAGAGTTCTCTATCTATCGTGCCTTTACAAAACCTCGCCTCGCAATACCAGGGAGCTCCCTGACACATCCCGTACACGTCAACGAGATCGAGGAATCGGGAACTACCCGGTATTTCCGCTACCAGAGTAGCAGCATCTTCGAGATGGTCCTCCCTCCATCTCCCGCCGTAAATGTAATCCGCCGAATCACGCCGACTTACCGTGGCCGATTGACAGATAAACAGCTGTTTGACAGCTCGCGACGCGGCACGGTACATACATACGTGCACCTCGCGCGTCCCCGAAACGCTCCCCTCCTCCCTCCCCCTCCTCCGACTGTCACCAAACCGCCGCGCATGCGATAGTTTAAATCCGATCGCCCGATCTGATTTTCGTTTTCGCGATAATTCATTAATTGATCGTTAAAGATCTTACTAATTGGACATATTGGACATTCAAATTCACATCATTATCATGTTATATCGTGATTTTGACATTATGACTTTTAAATATTTAAGAAATTATGAGTAAAATATTTATTATTTAGTTATAGATTATTTAATGTGCTATAGATACTAAATATAAAAAAATGTTAGATTTTATGAATTCTTAAATACTTTTTATTGCAATATCCATTGGATAAATAAACTAATGAATTTTACTTTACTTTAACTCCTAAAGAAAAGTAAGAAATAAAATATTGTCTAATAGTTAATTTGAATTGTTATCTTGAAAATTTCTTGGAAAATTTGGCAGATTTTGAATTTTATTTGAAGGAAATAGGAAATTTTTCAGGAGTTTTTAGAGAAAAAAATGTATATGATAATCAGAACATTTTGGTTGGAATAATTTTTTCGAAATCTTTGTTTTATGAATTGCTGAAAATTTATTTTGTGAATTATTTATATATTTTTGTGCTAAAGAAAATTGTATAAGAAAATTATGTCAAGATTATGTCAAAATTTTGAAAATTTTTATTAATTTTTTTTTGTTTTTTATTTAGATTTTTAAATTAATTTTATTTTGCTTTAAAGACTTTCGTTTCAATTTAAATGTTCAATTTAAACATTTATTACAAATTTTCTTAATGTTTATGACATTCTGTTAATTAAAAGCAGATTCTGTTTTATCTTTTGGAAAATGTTCCCAGAAATTTGCAATAAAAGAATATAAATTTGATAAATTATCTTTTTTTATTTTTTTTTATTGATCTTTTTAATACTTTTTATATAATCGAACAACAACTAGGAGAAAGAATCTAATACGAAAGAAAAATAGATTTTTATGTTCTTTTTGTGGTTATATGAAAAAATTAAAAAGCTCACAAAAATAACAAATAACAAATTTATTTTATATTTGTACAGAAAATATTTTTTTCAAAAATTTTTTACGAAAATTACAAAATTAAATATGATTATAAATATTCTCTAATTTCTTTTAAATTTAAGTATAAATTTATTAGATGTACAAATACATATTTTGTAAGATTTACATATAT